TTCTCCTCCTCTCTCTCTCTCTCTCTCTCTCTCTCTCTCTTACTCTCTCGCTCTCTATCTCTCTTGCTTCTTCTATATCTAACTGCAGCGACAAGTGGCAGCTTCGACTATCACGTTTGACTATCGTTGTACTAGCTCTTTCTCCCGGCGGCTCTCTGCCGCGCTATCACAGTGGCTTTACTGCCGCGATTTACTTGAACGAGACCCGGACGTGGCTGCCGATATGTCGCGGGCTCATTGATCTCACGAGGTGACCAGGGGGGGCACGCGACGATGTGCACGCGAGGACGTACCCGAAGAGAATTTTGGGCAAAGAGCGAAGCAAAGCGAAGCGACGCCGGTGCGAAACGCTGACTGAACCACTGGCGAGGCAACGGGGGTTGCTCCGTACCGTGTGCTCCGTCTCCCCCTGCTGCTCTCACCCTCTCGGTCGGCCTTCTCTCTCATCCTCTCTCCTCCTCCTTCTCCTCCTCCTGCTCCATCACCGAGCATCCCTCCTCTTTTCTGGCATCTCTCTCGCCCCCTTTTCATGCGCGCGTTCGTTCGCTCCTCGTCGCGCCCCCGCGACGCGTACGATCCTACGCTACGCCGTCGTCCTCGCCGGGTTGTAATAGCGTACACACGCAATACAGGGTAGCACCATCAGCACACACTGCGCGATCCTACGATCCTGCGCCCTAACCCGCAGGAATATCGCAGGAGGTCTATTCCCTCCCTTTCCCGCGCGCTATAAGTCATCGATGAAATTCGGGTTCCCCCCAACGACGGGGATTCTTAATCGGGGCGCGATTTCGCTTACCGTTGCATTTCGCCAAAATCACGATCACGAAGGTTCCGCGCTCCGTTTGATATCGTTCTTTTTTTTTTTTTTTTTCCAAAGTTTCAGAAGTCGCGTAGAAGTGATCGAAACCCTTGAAATAAAGTTTCTGAAATAAGTTCTTGAAGGCACGATGATTATTCGAAATCGATTCAACAGTTGTTAAATACATAAATTGCTTTAATACTCTCGATTTCATGATTAGATTTGAATTTTATAATATTAATAAATTTATTTATTAAAAAAGATCTTTTCACGTAATAAAAATTAATATCTTTTTCATATAATTGTTGGATTCTTCGAATATCGACTTTAAATTAAAGATATCGACTTTAAATGAGATTGAGAGATAAAAGTATCTTTAAGCGAAAAAAGAAAACACCGCCACTCACGAGAATGGCGATATGTGGGCAAACAGTTTGCGGTATACTATAAACGAAGAACATTAAGGGAAATAACCATAAGTCGGAATTATATGATACGAGGCGAGAAGTCGTCCTGCGTTGTAATCTTCCAACGCGGCACGCAAAGGGCTCACCCCCATCGCGGAACGCTGAGCAGGAAATTTAATGCCGAAAAATGGGGAATAGGATATCGAGGGATAAGAAAAAGCATAAGTCGAATGACTTGGCACGCTAGAAAAAGGGGGGGGCTTCCTTCACGGAGCTCCAAAAATAAAATCACTACGGTACAACAAAGCGAAACAATTCAAAAGACACTCGGGAGACTTTCAAAGAACGTGCGAATGAGACGTTCTTTAGATTATATTTCCGTGAGATTTTTGCATGAAATGAAAGAAATCGGAAATTAATTTCCGCGAATTTATAACTAAATAATCATCAACTTGCATCGTATAACTTATCGGTATAGAAATTCTTCGCGAGTTGTGGGCGCGTATACGTATGCGCTTTAAAGATTTCTAAAGATCAAGAAATTGAATGATGTCCCGATAACATGCCGAGAATATAAAAGGAACGTACGCTCGTCATATCTCAAGCCGCTATCGAGCGTCGATCGCTTCGCCTTTACTGTACCGTTACGTGAAAATTTATGATTATGATTCTACAGAATTTGTCATCGTGATTGTAAGTTCAATACATCTGCAATACAAACGATGGTAAATACTTTAGAGAAACGTTACACAAAATTGAATCACATCATCGGGAAATTATTTGTAAATAGTTTAATTATTTGTAAATGGTTCTTTGCGTTGTATAAATTGGATTTTATGAAACAATCGATTTATTGAAAATAGAGCTAATTCCATAAAGGGAAAAAGAACTATAATCAATAATTTATATTTATATTTATTGGAATCATAAAACTACAATGGAAGGTTAGATCATAACCAACTGCGTACCTTCATAGTGTGCTAGTGAAATATGTTAAATGAAAATTTAGTAATCAAATTTCGAAGTGTGACGAATCTTCAGAACTTCCGGATCGTCCGGTCTGAAAACTAAAGTATTGGCGAAATTAGCATCAATCAAGAAACGCTTTATCTCAGCTACTGAGAATCTACTTTATCGACGGACAAACATGTGTTGCATAACAATCGTAAAGCCTAAATAATCAATTCGAGAATATTTTCAATTACTTACTTGTTATCCGTTTATGATATTTCGGAGTTAGATCTTGCGTCAAGCAAGAATATCCCGCGTAAATAGCCAAAGCGGTCCCTCCAAAAAAGTAAAACATAGATCCCATTATTACTGGGATCTCTGTCCATCCCTTGCGCCAGAAAAATTTAATCTTCGTCCCTGGAATGAAATCCGATCGAACGAATATATCTGCGTATATTCTACGTGTCTCTACAAAACAAAATGCGATTCGATCTTACAAGCGCTGGTCCCACGCAGACGATTGAGATCCTCAGCTGTCTTCCATCGCGTAGCGACTTTCATCGTCGTCGAATCAGCTTAGTCCAAATAGGCACGAATCAGTCACGCTCGTCGAAATTCGCGATCACCAATTCTCGTTGACACACACGAGTATCACCAATCTAAAAGGGGAAATTCAATGGGGCGACTCAAACGCATGAGGTTAGGAACAGAAGAAACGAATCAGCTGTTACGTTGCTCCGCGTACCGCGACACACTTGACGATAAAAGAGTCCACGTCGATATTGTCGCGGCACATCCTTATCCAACACACCAAGCATGGGCACACCAAGATTTTTTTTTTTTCGGGGAGGGTTTCTATCAATTCTATTGACACATAAGCAGCAATTTTTTACGTTAACGAATTTTGCGCATGATTTTAGATATATTTTCTTAGAGCTTAGAAATATTTCCTCGTCTCCGATTTTAAACGAAAAGAAATATTAGATTTCGTAAATCGTAATTTTTTTCCCTCTCTTTTTTTCTTTCTTTTTCGAAAATTTTCCTTACGTATCATACATTATTAAAGCTTAAAACGGAAATTCCAGAAATTACTTATATGGTCACAACGGGGGAGGAAATAATACTTTATGTGATAACAAAAAATTTACTCAAAAGTCAAGAGAAAAGTTGTTATTTTATAATTAAAAATAAAAAAATAAAATACAGTTGCCCTTAGAAAATAGAGGGTGTTGTGAAAAAGTTTAGTTTTCCTGTGATTGGTGAAAGTAAAATAAAGAGATTATTTTTTTTTAGTTTTTGAGACAAAAAATTTAATGATGCTAGTTAAAATTATGTCACATGACAGGAAT